ACTCGAATATGTCAAACCCACATATATCACAAATACTTTACAAAAATAAAGAATTCAACTATTAAATATAAATAGAATTTAAATAAACCATTAAATTCAAGAGCATAAGATTTCCATCACAAAACCATAAAAATAAACTCATAGACCCACATAATCAAATGACGGTCAAGACTCGTCCAAAAGGGTCGTTCTAGTATTCCTCGAAGAGTGAAACTACCTCGGAAGACTCACGGTCAACTGAGGGTCAAACGGGCCTGCGGGACCCACGACCTCCGTTTTACGATCCAAAAGTTCTTATGGGTTCCACAAGCTCTAGGATACACGTCTTGAAAGTTTGGTCCAGATCAGGCAGTCGGATCGCTCACGATGGCACGATTGGACGGTTATTAAAAAACACAACTTTAAGTTATTGAATCGGAACATCCGGGGCTCCGATTCATGATCCGTGAAATCCTACACGATCCTAGGAATGCCTAGATCAACATATCTTAAATTGGAAACGATCCAACGGCTCTAACCTATCAACCCGGAAATCGCGCAATATGTGAAATCCGTTCGGGGTTCAAATGTTATCCGAATTGAGATCCACAAATTCCTACGCGCTCGTGAGAACCAGGAGATCATTGTAGGACACAATGACATGCCAACACGTGGCCCACGCGCAAACCCACGCTCCAGCAACGCATGAAAAATAGGTGGAAAAGCATACCTTAATCGACTGGTTTGGTGGCCGGAGGAGGGAGAAACCGCCGGGGAAAACTCTGTTAAAAACGGGTCAAAACCTAGTCGGATTTTCTTGTTTTTCGGCCAGCTCCGGTGGTTTCAGCGGCTGATATTTGTCAGGATAGGAAGAGAACGACTAACCGGTCATTTTGGTACCAATGCTGTCGCTTGGGGTGGCCGGAGGAAAAGATGGCGGCCCAAAAACTATTCGGATGAACAGTAACATAGGGGGCTGTTTCTGCGCGCAGGGAGAGAGAGAGAGAGAGAGAGAGAGAGGGTTTTCTGTTTGAGATTTTCTATTTAAACCCCAAATTTCTCTTTGTTCACCCCAATATTTAAATCATTAAGCTGTAAGTTTTATTATTGTGTAAAAAGACAAAAAAGGTTATCCAACTTAATACTTAACCCTAGTACATCTATACACACACCCCACCACTCTTCAAATTAAGTTTTAGAAAAATAAAAACTCTTCTACATCCTATTGCCAGATTACTCTTTTCTTTTAAAGACGTAGAACATTAACGAGCCCACCTCTTTGAAATCTGTGTGGGAGTTGATGGAAAGACATGTTGATTGTTTCACTGTAATGATCTTCTTCTCTTCCCCTTGTTGATTGCTGTTTTTTATTTTTTTTGGTATTCTTGGATGTTGATTGCTTGGTTGTTTTGATTTTTGATTTAAAATTTACATCTGATGTTTTGGTAAAGCTGTTTTCTTTCTCTAGAAATATTAAATTTTGGATTTGGGGTTCCATTTGTTTGTGTTTTTTTTTTCTGCTAGGAACAATAATAGTGGAATGAGTCAACCCAAAGTAAGTGCCTAAAGCTTCAGTACATAGTGTTTCAATGTTTGAAAACCCCACCAATTCTAGATGCCATTCGGAGGTAGAAATCAAATAAAAATCACATATTATGCACGAAAAATTTACCAATCTATAAATTAACATTGTCAACAAATCAAGTGTGTCAAATTCGTTGAACAATTTGACCCATTTGGAATATAAAAACCCCAACAATTTGCCGTGTCTGTCAAATAAGAATCACACCATTGCGTGTTTCATACTTCATGAAATATGAAACTTCCCTTTGCAACCTCTTAATCCCATGTTTGTTTACAAAAAATTAATTTAATTACTTACTATTTCTCATGCCCAGAACGTACTTCCTCCTCTAAAGGTAGCTTGTGGGGTTTAAATAGAAAATCTATTTTATTTCTTATTTTTTCAGCTTGGGGTGTATTTAAGGGTAGTTTGGGAAGATAGTGGGGTTTTTTTAGAAATTGTGAAAATTTAAATTAAAAGTTGGGGTGAACTTAGAACATGGGGTGAACTAAGAGAAGTGTGGGGTTTAAATAGAAAATCTATTTCTGTTTTTATTAAAAATAAATAAACTTTGAAATAATTACGATTGTGCCACTGAGAGTTTTTAGATCGTATCTCTCTCGTTACAACTCTGATTCAAGCCTACCGCATGTCTACGGACTTGTCTCAGTACAACCTACGTAAGGGTACCAGGCACTGCCCCGAAATCCTCCCGAATTAAAAATGACCAAATTACCCCTACTCCGAGGGCAAAATTGGAAATTCATAATTCTTGAAATTAAATAATTCGCTATTCCCTTTATTTTGGGTCGAGATGTTACAAAAACCGGGACTTCAACCAACCTTGTTTCCAAATTCTACAAAACCCAATAGCCCAAACCTCAACTTAAGCAGAACAAGGCCGGGCTATAGCTAATCTGTGCACCAACAAAATGACCCAACTTACAAATTAATTACAAAAATATACAAATACAAACCAAAATTCACAAACAAATTTACAAAAAATAAATAATGCAAACCAAAATTCACCAGTTCTTATCAGCAAGTATCAATAAAATGCACCATGCAGAAAAGATTGAGCAAGTACCTGTGAGAAAGATTGAACTTTCTCATTTTGTAAGGAGTGAGGAGAGGACTTGAGGGACCTTGAGCAGCCATTTCAGAGCTTACTTCCTCTACTATGAGTCTATGTGATCTTGCAACTTTGGCCTTTGCCTTTGTGTTTTGGTTTTTGATTTCTCTCTCAACTGGGAATGAATGGAAGACCCAATTGGGTCCTTATACGTTCAGCAGTCGGCTGGCCTCAACTGGCCCCACATCTCCCCTTCCTCCTTCCGGAGGAAGCTCTGGTTGGCTGATCCTTTTTCGAAGCAATGGACTGGCTTCATTGATTGAGATGTTTGCTGACGTTTGTAATTACGTGAGTGACGATTTTGTTTTATTTTTGGTATTGGAATTCGTTGTGCGGTGGAGCTGCCGAGTTGCCTTGCCTGCCAACCTTGACCACCACGCCATCCATCAATGACCTTTGTTGTTGCAACTTTTTTTTTTCTTCTTTAGTATTTTTTTACTTTTGTCTAAATAATTGCATCAATGCGTTTTTTAGTTGAATACCTTTTTTGGCCTCTTGAATAAATTCATGCATGAAAGCAACGTCATTTGTTCAAAGGGCAGGCGTCACATTTGCTCGAGTTAAAGTTAAAAGGAATTGTTTCACCCAAAAAAAAAAAAGTTAAAAGGAATTGTCGTTCTATAATACCTGTAATTATTATTTTCTAATCCTTGGGTAATGGGGTTTGTGTGGCAATTTGAATTTGATGTCAAATACCAAATATTACATATGATTTTGATAGTTTATGTGGCAATTTGACATACAAGGGCATCTGCAATGGTGAGGGTCATTTCAATTTTATTTAAATAAATTGAACTTTTGACTTGCAGTGGTTAAGTTTGGTTCATTTCAGATATAAATATTTCATTTCAGGGATTAATAGTTCATTTGAGGTCAATAAAACGAACTCTGAAATGAAATTCATTTCAATAAGCTTGGCCCACCATAGTAACTCTACAACCCCTCTCTTATTGACACATAGATGACATTATTTTTTACTTTTTAATTTTGTTTATTCATATTCAATTTTGTTATACAATAACGTGAAAATGAGGTGCTGTGATGTGTTCTCATTTAATCTCAACTTCCAATTCTTCAGAAAAAAGTGTTAATATAATATTTTCACCATCCAAAGAATATTTTGTTATTAATTTATATATATTCAAAATTGATCTCTTTAAAAGATTGCTTTTTGAAACCATTTTAATTGTATAATTCTTATCGTAATTAAATTTATTCATTTTATTTTATTCAATCATTTAAAAATATAGTTTGTAATTTGTAAGCAATTGAACTGCACCACTGCAAGTGAAACTGCACTTCAGTTCAATAGCAGCCAAAAAAGTTTAATAAATTGAACTATTGAACTGAATTGAACTGTTGAGCAACTGTTGCAGATGCTCTAATAAAGTTTTACATTTTACCTAACATGTCAAATTAAAAAATTGTTTTATTACATTTTTTATACAAATTATTTTATTACATTAGTGTTGATTTGCTTATTACTTTCTGAACACATTAATTGAAAAAAATAATAAAATAATAAAATAGCATCACAAAGTCAAACATCCAAAAATAATAGTATAAAGGAAAAATATTCTTCCACATAGGATTTAACATTTAAATTAGAGTAGTCTCTATTATTTTTTCTACATGCTAAAATGCCACATTGGATATAACAATATTTCTCAATTCATTCTACATGCACTTAATTATGGATATTCCTTCCAGACATAGAACTAATAAAAAGAGTAGTCCGTGTTACAATTAATCTAAAATTAAGCTAGAAACTAGTAATTAAGTACAGCTAGAGAGCTCTTCAAAACAAGTTAGGCAATATTTATATAGTTGTTGTGATAACTTAAAAGTGAATTCATGTCGTGGCGATTGCAAAGGCTGAGGCCACGGAACAAGGCCTCATGAAGTGGAGATATGATATCAATGATATGTTTCTTCCTTGCAGCATGACGACCCAGCAGCTTAAGCTTGCAGAAGAAACACTACTATTATTAATAGCACCATCTTCAAACCCCATCAAATTAGCACCAAGGTTGTAATTTTCCTTAAAATTACGAATTTACCCTTAATATGGATGGAAAATTGAATGAAATTTGAAAAATTTGACGTAAGGAGCAAAATGACATAGTTCAGGAGCAAAATGACAGTTTATCCTATTTTAAATGTGCACATTTGCACTTCCAAGATTAATCTCATCTACTTTTTCCTTTATTCAACACTACCAGTTGGTAAAATGTTGTGAGGAGAGGAAAAAACTCTAGTAGCCCTATCCTTCTGTGAGTCCCAAAGAAAAACTCCACAGATTTGCTATGAATGCGGTGGTGGGTGTGGCTGGGATTGCGCTTCTTCAGGTGGTAGTGGTGGTAGGGTTCGTTTAGGCTCATAGGTTGCTCTAGGGTTTTGGTTATGTTAGGCATATGTGGGATTTGTTTGGGCTTATGATTAATTGTGGTGATGTGGCAAGTACTTTTAATGCGGCTTTTGTCAGCTTTAGTTTTGTTTTTAACGTGTTAGTTTGTTGCCCTCTGCAGATTGGTACTTTTGATGTCTTTGATTGTACTATTGAAGTTTATCTTTGATTTAAAAAAAAAAAAATACTACCAGTTGGTCTAGTGCCTACTCGCCACTTTACTAGAGATTCTTGGTTGAGGCTCAACACAGAAACGTAAAATACCAAACCTTAAGAAAACTTTTAGTGACCTTTTTTCTATTTAATTATACATACAGAGTAACAATATATTCAACCAGATTATATAGAATATATATTCAAGCTTCCATAGGCTGCAGGAAACTTAAGCTGTGGTTTCAAGAAATGGATAATCAGTGTAGCCAATAACCGGATCAGATGTGTAGAACGTCTCTCTGTTGTATTTATTTAGAGGAGCATTAAGCTCAAATCTTTTTGGCAAATCTGGATTAGCCAAGAACAACCGGCCATAAGCAACAAGATCTGCACGACCCTCAGCCACAGCATTGTTCCCATCTTCCCTGTCAAAACCACCAGCCGCAATGAAGGTGCCTTTGAAAGCTTCTCTCATGGGCAGAAGACTGTCCGGAGTTTCACTTTTGTCTCCAGCTGTCTTCATTCTTGGCTCAACCACATGGCAGTACAGGATCCCATATTTGTTCAAGGATTTGGACATATAAAGGCCTAATGCTTTCGGATCTGAATCCGCTGATTCCATATAGTCCGCAAATGGAGATAATCTAATTCCAACTTTATCTGCTCCTATCTCATTAACAACAGCTTCAACAATTTCCAAAGTGAACCGGCAACGGTTCTCCAGCGATCCACCGTATTCATCTGTTCGATCGTTCACTTGGTCTTTCATAAACTGATCAATAAGGTAGCCATGCGCCCCATGAATTTCAACCCCATCAAAGCCTATATATCAGAAAGGCATTTTCCATGTAGCCAAGAAATTACTAACTTAACATTATAAATCATATGATATTCTAAACGAGTACAATTCAAGAATCAATCTGGCATGATCTTGGTTAGTACATTCGCTTAGTACTTAATTATGATCCATTTCGATTTCTTAAAAATTTTAATTTATATTTAACTTAAAAGATAAGTTACCAGAGGCAATTGCTGAACCTCTAAAATACTTGTGTCACTTTGTGCTTGGTTGGTTTCTCAAGTGTGTGTGTGTGATTCATCCATCCTTGTGTGTGTCACAAAGTCCATCAACAACAAGATCATTAGGGGAGGGTGAGTTGAGTTTGTTCTCAATTCACAACACCATCTTCCCTGTCAAAAGCACCAGCAGCAATGAAGGTGCCTTTGAAAACTTCTCTCATGGGCAGAAGACTGTCAGGGGTTTCACTTTTGTCTCCAGCTGTCTTCATTCTTGGCTCAACCACATGGCAGTACAGGATCCCATATTTGTTCAAGGATTTGGACATATAAAGGCCTAATGCTTTCGGATCTGAATCCGCTGATTCCATATAGTCCGCAAATGGAGATAATCTAATTCCAACTTTATCAATCTGAATCCGCTGATTCCATGTAGTCCGCAAATGGAGATATCTAATTCCAACTTTATCTGCTCCTATCTCATTAACAACAGCTTCAACAATTTCCAAAGCGAACCGGCAACGGTTCTCCAGCGATCCACCGTATTCATCTGTTCGATCGTTCACTTGGTCTTTCATAAACTGATCAATAAGGTAGCCATGCGCCCCATGAATTTCAACCCCATCAAAGCCTATATATCAGAAAGGCATTTTCCATGTAGCCAAGAAATTACTAACTTAACATTATAAATCATATGATATTCTAAACGAGTACAATTCAAGAATCAATCTGGCATGATCTTGGTTTGTACATTCGCTTAGTACTTAATTATGATCCATTTTGATTTCTTAAAAATTTTAGCAATCTGCCATCTTCAAACCCCATCAAATTAGCACCAAGGTTTATATTTAACTTAAAAGAAAAGTTACCAGCTTCGATAGCATTCCTTGCAGCAAGTCTAAAATCATTGACAATTTGCGGAATTTCATCTATCTTTAATCTCCTTGGAGGTGTGTATTGAGCAATGTCAACGCCATTAGTTAGTATTTGGGGGGGTAATGGCTTGTCGGTACAAGAGATTGGAGCTTTCCCATTTGGCTGAAAAACTGTAAGCAAGAGAGAGAGAGAGAGAGAGAGAGGATCACAATCTGAACTCAATACTTATGTTCATGAAGAATATGCTTCCTGATGCTTCAATGGTCTAATTGCTCATAAGTATTTCTATGATAGAAGTGAAGTCATAGAGGTGAACAACAGAACGGCACCGCTGTTTGAAACCCTCCCGGCATGCCAAATCTGACAGAAGAAGACACCGCCTTCAGCATGAACAGCGCCAACAATCGGTTTCCACGCTTCAACTTGCTCCCTTGTCCATAAACCAGGCATATCTGGATACCTTCAGAAATTAAAACAGAGATGTCATCCAACATTGAAATGAAGAAACGTAAAAGGAAAACGAAAGCTACTCTTCTTAAAATTACCCTTGAGCTGTGTCAGAAACTCCACTGGCTTCAGCTATGAGAAGACCCCCTTGAGATGTTCTCTGAGAGTAATATAAGATGGCATGCGGCTGTGGAATATTGTTGTATGATCTGTGTCTAGTCAATGGTGCTAAAACAATTCTGGAAAAGAAGGAAGATTTAAATTATAGATGCAGAGTAACATAATATGGGAGTGTGGATGAGAAACGTTGTTGTATGGCCCCTATCTAACCAAAGGTGCTAAAACAATTCTGGAGAACACAGTATACTATCAGAACTGTAACTCCAAGACATGTGACTGGTTTGAAAGAGAATAATATAACTACCCAGCAAATAATTATCGTATCTGGCTAAACAAAACAAAATTTAAGAAAAATAAGCAAGAGTTAAACCATTATGAACTGATGACAAATAATAAAATGAATCCTTCCGGTTTTCATTTTCACACCGCACGGTGTATTGGGAACCATCAAACCATATGTCTAGGCATCACTTATGCGTATATAGATTTTCAAGTTCTGGAGTCCCTAGATGCTATTTTCTGTTCCTCCCCCCTCTCCCCCGCCCCCCCAAAACCTTTTTTTATTGTATAATTTACTTCTATAAGATTCATATATGTTTTACTTACAAAGATATAGTTAGACTATCATCAACTTCAAGGAGAATCTCATTCCCACATGAATAGTAAGAATAAAATGTTATTATGCACAGGCACAGGCAAGCAACTAGGAATTTGACAACAAAGAAAAATTGAAAGCAGGGCAAGTATTTTTAGTAGCTGTACACATCCACTTGAAACTGCCCTAGAAGTTGCAACATATTATCAATTCAATACCCAAACTCAGATAGAGAGGCATTACTATCATTAAAAAGCATAGAATTATACTGAAAGAGTATGGGGAGAGACACAAGAAAACTGGGCTATCTAAATCATCAAACTAAACCAATCCCTAGCTGTAGAAATTTAGGACTGACATAAAAAAAATGCTGATGCTGCATAACAGAACAAACCACCCAAATAAATGTTGTCCAGACTCCAAATAAACTTAGGACTGAATTTAAGAACTAAAAGGGGAAGAAAATGAATGGTGGATGAAACTGCTGATATAGGATAAGAAAAAAGATAAAACTTCTTCATTTGGTAAGACACAAGAAATAACTCAAATTCTTTTTCTTGTTAGCCAACTGGGATTATCCACAAACACCTGCTAAATCCCATTTTTAGCAGAACAGGGCATGTTATGGCTAATTTTTGCACCAACAAAATGACCCAAGACACAAATTTAGAAAAATGGATATACAAAGCCAACATTCTTCACCTTGTAGCAATATCTAATCAATAATGTTATGTAAAAAGGATTACCTATGAGAAAGGTTGAACTTTCCCATTTTGTAAGGGGTAAGGAGAGGAATTGTGGGAGGTTGAGCAGACATATCAGCTATCAGACTTCACTTGGGTTTTGCTCGTGTTTGGGTTTTGGTTTTTTGGCTCTGGAAATGAATGGAAGACCCAATTGGTGCTTTAAACATTTGGTAGGAACTAGAAAATCCTAAGACAACAGTTGGAAGCTGTGCAGTTTTTTTTTTTTTTTTTTTTTGTTTTTAAACATTTGGTAGGAACTAGAAAATCCTAAGACAACAGTTGGAAGCTGTGCAGTTTTTTTTTTTTTTTTTTTTGGTTTTTATCAAAGGAAAAATCTTCATTACTTTCAATAACAGTTTATTGAGATGTTGACATTTGCAATTGCGTGGTTCTTATTAAAAGTACCAAATAACACTTCTCACGTTTTATACTTTTCAAACTATTGGTCTTTAACGCAAAACATCAAATTTGACTTTGATGATGACAAATTTGACATATTGCAAACCTACCTTCCTACTTCATTCAACGTGTCAAGTTGTAGTCTTTTATGACGTGTTTACTAATCAGGAATTGGAATTCTCTTCAGAAGTTGAATTCCACTTATAGAGGATTCATGCGTTTACTTCACATCAAGAAATTGAAAAGTAAGTGCGGCCCACACAAAATTAGGAATTGAATTTTTGATTTTGGAGGAATTCATTTCTTAGGTGGGAGGTGGTATTCTAATTCCTGGAGAACTAATCCATTAGGAATTCTTTTTTACCCATTATATCCTCACACAATTTTCAAAATTCCAAATTTACCATCTACTTTAACCTAACAACGAGGACATTTTAGTAATTGGTACAACTTCTACCCTAATTCCATATGGTTTAGTAAACAACTTCAATATGAATCCGGAATCTAATTCTCCTCAATCCAACTCCTGCTCAGTTCAATTCCTCCTAATCCAATTACGGATTAGTAAACATGTAATTAATGAAATTTAAAGGCTAAAAAGGTATAGAGATTTTATCACCTTCAAGCCAAATAATTCTATTGTGAGAGTTCATTAACTTTTAATGTGCAATTACTATTGATGCTTAAATTTGGTTCAACAACATTATGACCTCTTCAAGATCAATGTCCGCAATCCGTTCAAATCAACTTGACATGACCAAGTAGGTTCTCCCCTAGAACGAGTTATGGTGCTTAGGAATTGCATCTTGTAAATAAAAATTGAGCAAGAGACACAAGAGATCTACATGGTACTGGGCTACGTCCATGAGGTGTTGGATATTTTTCACTATTGAATGAAGAAATAACAAAATACAAAGTGTTTGATCCTCACAACCCATATGTCAATTACACCCAAAACACTCATAATTATGATGAACAAAATAAAATATCGATATCCAGGAGGGTTGGCCCTAGCCCAAGGGCAAGAGTCTAAGAATTCAGGGGCACAAATATTGTAAACGGCCCATATATATACCTATAGAAAGAAAATGTTTTTCTTCTTCTTCCAAATTGCCTTTTATGTCTTTTATTATTATTATTATTATTTTATCTTTTTAGAATTGTTCTCTCTCGTCTCACCCTCGCACCTCACTGCGCCATCTTTTCTACCTCTCACCATTTCCCTCTGCTTCATTATCGCATTTCTTCATATTTCTTCTTTCAATGATATTTTTTTCTGGGTTTTTACTGGTTTGTAAAAGTAACTTGATTGCTCCCAAATTTCTTTTGGTTCCTTATAGGTTATCTGTCTTTTTTTTTTCTTTTTTTTTTTTTTTCTGTTGTAATTTTTTGTTTCTCACAATTTAATCTAATTCATGTATTCAAAAGGAAGGCTATGAATTCTTAATATGCCAAAACCCCATATCTAGTTTTAAAAGTTCTTGATAATTTTGATAAATAATAATACAAAAATTCAAGAAGAACTATTGTGTTCAGAAGAATATCCATGTCATGTTTAGAGTTGAATTCATTGATTATTTTAAATTCGATTATGAACTATCATAATTTTCCAAATACTATTTGTAAATTTGGTAAGAAAATATATTGGACCAGAATGAATTCTCATTGATCGTGGTGTATGTTTATATAATACATTCCATAGGTTACTCCTACAAGTAAGCTAACTAGCTAGGAAAGAATATATACACGAAGTCAAATAATATAACATTCCTATATTCTATTATACAGTCCCTAAACTATAGGATAATCTTCAATTCTCAACACTATTTAAGAGCCCAATTTTTTTAAAAGGTAAACTTATTTGTGTTTAAGAGATCCAATTCTTTCTAAGAGACCGGATTCTAATTCTTTTAAGATTTTGCATTTGGCAGATATACCAGGCCTTACTTCCTTCGCTATCTGATTTTGCATTTGGCATTTCCCCATGCGTTAGGTTTTTTTTATTGTTCTGTACTGGAATGACCCAACCAAGAAACAAAAGGAACTTAACAACACTAGGTCCTGGCTGACTCCAAAGAGAGGACTTAGATATTCTCCTTGTTTTCACTGGCTTTGCATCTTAATTCTTAACCCTTTTCACTGGCGTTTCACTGGATTAAAATCTACGACAATTAAAATTTCATATCAGCAACATATTTTAAATGCACACATTGACACTTCCAAGAGTAACCTCATTTACTTTAATTCTACTTATTGGTCTAGTGGCATTTAGTCTTCACTTTACTCGAGACTCTTGAGTGAGGATACCGCATACAGAACACTTGCTACATATATTAGTCTACGCAGAAACATAATATACCAGACCTAATGAGAACTTTTATTCACCGTTTTTTTTTCTTTGTATTTAATTATACACGCAATGTAAAAATAGTAACAATGCACATTCAAGCAGATTATAATACAGAATATAAATCTAAGTATGTGTTCAAGCTTCCATATAGGCTGCAGGAAACTTAAGCAGTGGTTTGTAGAAATGGATAATCAGTGTAACCAACAACTGGATCAGATATGTAGAACGTATCTCAGTTGTACTTAATTAGAGGAGCATTAAGCTCAAATCTTTTTGGCAAATCTGGATTAGCCAAGAACCAACGTCCTTAGACAATAAGATTTGCATGGCCCTTAGAAAAACGCAAGAAGTGACTCAAATTCTTATTCTTGTTAGTCAACAGGTATTTTCCACAAATACCTGCTTCTAAGTGGACTAAATCTCATTTTTAGCAGAACAGGCCATGCCATGGCTAAATTTGTGCACCAACAAAATGACCCAACATACAAATTTAGAAAAATTAGATAAAACGAAGCCAACATTCTTCAGCTTAATGCAATGTAGAAGAGATTTAAGTACCTATGAGAAAGGTTGAACTTTCCCATTGTGAAATGAATGGAAAGCCAATTGGGTTTTGGTTTTGTGGCTCTGGAAATGAATGGAAAGCCAATTGGGGATTTATACATTTTGGTAGCAACTAGAAATCCAATGACAACAGTTGGAAGCTGTGCAGTTTTTTAATGCAATGATTGAGACGTTTCATGACGTTTGCAATTGCGTGGTGCTTAATGGAAAAACAAATGTTCAAATACATCAGCACCCACGTAAAAACAAAGCGCACTAAAACATCTTCTCAAATCGATGTTGTTGCTCATTCTCGGGCTACGTTTGCAGTGACTTTGTTGTTGTGGTTCTCATTTTTGAATTCCCTTCTGTCTTCTAGAATGAATTGTGTTGGCAATGAATTGTGATGAAAGTATCAATTTCATTGATCTGGTTTTACATCACAAGAATGAGCTAGTCACAATTAAGTATCAATTTCATCACAAATGTATATCGTTCTCGTCATTCATGTGAATCGAATCTGAGCGCTCCTCCAATCAAGTGAAAACAAATAACACTAGACCAAAAATTAGTTGATACCAAAAAATAACTAATTAAAAGCTTATATGATTATATTTTAATATTTATTAATCTAAAACTAGCCCGAATTCATCTAAGGGGACAAATATGCAAAACATTAGTCTACTAAACTGTAAATAATTAAAAAATACAAACAAACAAAATTTCATGTTCAACAAATATTTTTTTGTTAAAAAAAGAAAAAGAAAAGAAAAGAATAATGTTATTCTTATCACATTTATATACCAAATTATCATACTACTTTATATGGCAGATAAGATAGACAGCCACATCAATTCAATTTATTTAACATTTTCGTTTCTTTTATGATTTATTAGCACTTAAAAAAATACTGTTAATTAAAATTTCTTTATAAAAATACACTTCATTGATTTAATTGATGTGATATATGATATCATGTGGTAATACTCAGAAGAAAAATCTATTGACACATGGGTAGACTAGTGATTTGTAACGTACCACATCTTCCAGGGAAGTTGGGGGTTGTGGTGGCCCATAATTTGCTATTATTGTTGTTGTTTAGCTCCAACTGGACGTATAAAGACCCAATTGGGTTTCAATTCATTACCAGAACAGAGACCATAGTTGACATGGCTGCTCAACCTCCCACAATCCCTCTCCTTACCCCTTACAAATTGGGAAAATTCAATCTTTCTCATAGGTACTTGCTTAATCTTTTCTACATTGCATTAAGCTGAAGAATGTTCGCTTTGTTTTATCTTTTTTGTCTAAATTTGTATGTTGGGTCATTTTGTTAGTTAGTGCATTAGTTAGCCATACCTAACAAGAAAAATGAAGTTGCTGCTTATGTTTAAGTTAACCTAATTTGGTTTACTGGGTATTTTGGTCATTTGGGTGCCTTGATAGTTATATAGCAAACTGCTGCATTCTATGTGAGTTTGGGTAATGAATAGGAATTCTGGGGCTGTTTCTGTTGATGTCTAGAATTGATAAACTAGTTGTCTTGCTTTCACAATTGTGTAATTTTCAAATTCCCAGCTGCTTGCTCATGCCCTTTTCTCCTAACGACAACGTTCCTCAGCCTCGCGCTTGTATTTATAATTTAAAATGTCTTTGTGTTTTTCAGAGTTGTTTTAGCGCCATTGACTAGATGGAGATCATACCACAGTGTTCCTCAACCACATGCCATCTTATATTACTCTCAGAGAACATCCAATGGGGGTCTTCTCATAGCTGAAGCCACTGGAGTTTCTGACACAGCTCAAGGGTAATTTGAAGTAGAGAAGCTTGCAAGTTCTGACGTTTGATTTTAAGTAACTAAGCTACATTTGAGGGTGCTTTTTTCATTTCAATGTTTGATGACATTTTTTTTTTCTTTCGTATGCGAAGGTACCCAGATACTCCTGGTATATGGACAAAGGAGCAAGTGGAAGCATGGAAACCCATTGTTGATGCCGTTCATGCTAAAGATGGTGTCTTCTTCTGTCAGATTTGGCATGTGGGGAGGGTTTCAAATAGTGGTACGTTTCTGGCATACGCCTTATTACCTCACTATCGTAGAAGAACTTGTGAGCATAAGTGAAAAATTAGACCATTGAAGCATCATAAAGCTGATTTTTTTTTTAGGTGGAAGAAATTTGATATATCAAAATAACTCAGAATTTGATATATGTTTGAATTCATTATGAAATCTCAATGTTTTCAGCATCTTTTTTTTTATGGAAGAAGTTTAATACACTGAAATAACTAAGAATTCAGAAGTAGCATAGCATGTGCAAAGCTTCACAACAAGTGAGTGATTATGATTGATGATATCGTTGCTCAAATGGCGATCAAATTGTGACATGTTAAGATCCGGACTTGGTATTGATTGATGGAACCATTGTATGTTAAACCAACGTGTAGAATAACATGAAAGATGGATATGCTTGATTGTCTGCAGACTATATCCATGCATAATTGGTGTTTTTATTGATTGATCTTGATCTACCTGGAAAAGCATAGGACTCTTTTTCTTAAATCATAAGTATCAGTGATGCTTCTCAACTTAAACTTCTACATAATCCGCATTACTCCTACTTTTATTGCAATTTGCAACAACTGATTCCCTCTTTATGTGAAAGAGTATGCTGCTGTGGCTGTGTTGTTTATTGTCTTGAGGCGTCAGATTGTGATTCTATCTTTCCTTGTTTACAGGTTATCAACCAAATGGGCAAGCTCCAATCTCTTCTACTGACAAGCCAATACGATTAAATGGCATTGATGCCAGTGAATTCACACCTCCAAGGCTATTAAGGACCGATGAAATTCCACAAATTGTCAATGATTTTAGACTCGCTGCAAAGAATGCTATTGAAGCTGGTAATTTATCTGCAGTTGTTATAGGGAGCAACTATAAGTAGTTTTATGCTAATGGCTTGAACTGAATTTGAACTCCCACATTAATATTATTTGTTATTCTTGACCTTCCACATCAACAATTTAGCTTTAGTGGTTTTGAGAGCCGACATAAGAAAAAGGGATTGGTTCATATTTAGCTTTAGAATTTCATGATTGTTTGAATTTTGTGAATCATTAATTGGTGTTGTAATGCGCCCTTCTAACTGTAGGGAGGTGAAAAACAGTATTGTGTTAAAGGATTGGAGCCATACAAGCAAAAGTTATCCAAGTTTTATTTTCAAAAAGTTGTACTAGAAGGATGGAATGAACAAGTCTTCTAGGCATATCCATTAATAATATTTTCGAAAAGTCATATGATATATCAGTTATCATCTTCTCCTTGTTTCTCTTTCTTTTGCTTGAATGCATGAGGCCAGAGGGGGAGGGGATTCGAACTCTGGCCTTGAATGTGGGGTAAAAAGCCCGCTACCACCATAGCTACTAACCCCTGCTCATCTTCTCATTGTTTCAATTGCATGGTAAATAACCATTATTTCTTTTGTCTTGTACACTGAAATAATTTGTCTGCTATATACAGGCTTTGATGGAGTTGAAATTCATGGGGGCCATGGCTACCTTCTTGATCAGTTTTTGAAAGATCAAGTGAATGATCGAACAGACCAATATGGTGGATCTCTAGAGAATCGTTGTCGATTTCCTTTGGAAGTCGTTGAAGCTGTTGTTAACGAGATAGGAGCAGATAAAGTTGGAATTAAACTATCTCCATTTGATGACTATATGGACTCAGGGGATTCAAATCCAAATGCATTAGGCCTTTATATGGCCAATTCCTTGAACAAATATGGGATTCTGTACTGCCACATGGCTGAGTCAAGAATGGAGACAGTTGGAGAGAAAAGTGAAAGCCCCCACAGTCTTGTACCCATGAGAAAGGCTTTCAATGGTACCTTCATTGCTACTGGTGGTTTTGACAGGGAAGATGGGAACAAAGCTGTGGCAGAGGGCCATGCAGATCTCATCGCATATGGACGTTGGTTTTTGGCTAATCCAGATTTGCCAAAAAGATTTGAGCTCAATGCTCCTCTAAACAAGTACAATAGAGACACATTCTACCTATCTGATCCGGTTATTGGTTACACTGATTACCCATTTCTTGAAACCACTGCTTAAGTTTCCTCCAGCCTACGGACGCTTGAAGCCTTGAACACTCTACCTGTAGGCTTTGTTGTTACTTTTCTTTCACCGTAACATGTAGTTATTATTTCTACTGCAGGCGCTGGTGCTTTCTAAGAGACCGGATTCTAATTCTTTTAAGATTTTGCATTTGGCAGATATACCAGGCCTTACTTCCTTCGCTATCTGATTTTGCATTTGGCATTTCCCCATGCGTTAGGTTTTTTTTATTGTTCTGTACTGGAATGACCCAACCAAGAAACAAAAGGAACTTAACAACACTAGGTCCTGGCTGACTCCAAAGAGAGGACTTAGATATTCTCCTTGTTTTCACTGGCTTTGCATCTTAATTCTTAACCCTTTTCACTGGCGTTTCACTGGATTAAAATCTACGACAATTAAAATGTCATATCAGCAACATATATATTTTAAATGCACACATTGACACTTCCAAGAGTAACCTCATTTACTTTTATTCTACTTATTGGTCTAGTGGCATTTAGTCTTCACTTTACTCGAGACTCTTGAGTGAGGATACCGCATACAGAACACTTGATACATATATTAGTCTACGCAGAAACATAATATACCAGACCTAATGAGAACTTTTATTCACCGTTTTTTTTCTTTGCATTTAATTATACACGCAATGCAAAAATAGTAATAATACACATTCAAGCAGATTAATACTGTATATAAATCTAAGTATGTGTTCAAGCTTCCATAGGCTGCAGGAAACTTAAGCGGTAGTTTCTAGAAATGGATAATCAGTGTAACCAACAACCGGATCAGATATGTAGAACGTATCTCTGTTGTACTTATTTAGAGGAGCATTAAGCTCAAATCTTTTTGGCAAATCTGGATTAGCCAAGAACCAACGTCCATAGACAATAAGATCTGCATGGCCCTCAGCCACAGCATTGTTCCCATCTTCCCTGTCAAAACCACCAGCAGCAATGAAGGTGCCTTTGAAAGCTTCTCTCATGGGCAGAAGACTGTCAGGGCTTTCACTTTTGTCTCCAACTGTCTTCATTCTTGGCTCAACCACATGGCAGTACTGGATCCCATATTTGTTCAAGGATTTGGCCATATAAAGGCCTAATGCTTTCGGATCTGAATCCGCTGATTCCATATAGTCCGCAAATGGAGATAATCTAATTCCAACTTTATCTGCTCCTATCTCATTAACAACAGCTTCAACGATTTCCAGAGCAAACCGGCAACGATTCTCCAGCGATCCACCATATTCATCTGTTCGATCGTTCACTTGGTCTTTCATAAACTGATCAATCAGGTAGCCATGCGCCCCATGAATTTCAACCCCATCAAAGCCTAGATATCAGAAAAGCATTTTCCATGTAGCCAAGATGTTACTAACTTAACATTATAAATCATATGATATTCTAAACAAATACAATTCAAGCATCAATCTGGCGTTATCTTCGTTATTAAGTACATTTGGCTGAGTAGTTATTTATGGTCCATTTTGATTTCTTGCAAATTTTGATTTATATTTAACTTAAAAGATAAGTTACCAGCTTCAATAACATTCCTTGCAGCAAGTCTGAAATCATTGACAATTTGTGGAATCTCATCTGTCCTTAAACGCCTTGGAGGTGTGTATTGAGCAACGTCAACACCATTAGCTAGTAGTTGGGGGGTAAGTGGCTTGTCGGTACAAGAGATTGGAGCCTGCCCATTTGGCTGGAAACCTGAAAACAAAGAGAGACAGAATCACAATCTGAACACAATAGATTATATGTTCCTGAAAAGTCAGCTTCCTAATGCTTCAGTGGTCTAATTGCTCATAAGTATTTCTATGATAGAAGTGAAGTCATAAAGGTGAATAACAGAAACGCACTGCTGTTTGAAACCCGCCCCGCATGCCAAATCTGACAGACGAAAACTCCGCCTTTTGCATGAACAGCGTCAACAATCGGTTTCCACGCTTCAACTTGCTCCCTTGTCCATAAACCAGGACAATCTGGGAACCTTCAGATATGAAAGGAATAGAGATGTCATCCAACATTGAAATGAAGAAAGTACACACTCAAATGTATGGTACTCAATTAAAACCAATGGTAAAAGAAACCGGAAAGCTTCTCTTCTCAAAATTACCCTTGAGCTGTGTCAGAAACTCCACTGGCTTCAGCTATGAGAAGACCCCCTTTAGATGTTCTCTGAGAGTAATATAAGATGGCATGCGGCTGTGGAACATTGTTGTATGATCTCATTCTAGTCAATGGTGCTAAAACAATTCTGGAAAACACGGAGAATATAAATTATAGATACAGAGATGTATGTCCTTTATTTTTATTTATTTTTATCAGATTCATATGTTTTACTTATGAAGATATAGTCAGATTATCATCAACTTCAAGGATTCCCCACAAGAATAATAAGAATAAATTACTATTCTGCACAGACAAGCAGCTAGGAATTTGACAACTGCAAAAAACAGAAAGCAGGACAAGTATTTTTAGCAGATGTAGACATCAACAGAGACTACCCCAGAAGTTGCAAGACATTATCAATTCACAACCCAAACTCGAAAAGAATGCACCATTTTGATATGTACTCCTCTTTATGCAACTACTTGTTATTTTCTCTTTGGTTCTTAGAAAATTTTAACCCACTAAGATCCAATTAGAAAATGACAATTGGCTAGTTTTGAGTTTTTCTCTCCAAGTAGGCCCTTATAAAGGTTTTTGTATAACATGTCATGTTAGAATGAACCTATTTGTTAAAAGCCTTTAGAAACACGCAAGAAGTGACTCAAATTCTTATTCTTGTTAGTCAACAGGTATTTTCCACAAATACCTCCTTCTAACTTCTAAGTGGACTAAATCCCATTTTTAGTAGAACAGACCATGCCATGGCTAAATTTGTGCACCAACAAAATGACCCAACATACAAATTTAGAAAAAAACATAGATAAAACAAAGCCAACATTCTTCAGCTTAATGCAATGTAGAAGATATTTAAGTACCTATGAGAAAGGTTGAACTTTCCCAATTTGTGAGGGGTAAGGAGAGGAATTGTGGGAGGTTGAGCAGACAATTTCAGCTATCAGAATTCACGTGGGTTTTGCTAGACCTGGCAATATTACACACGACCCGTTAACACGACACGAATTCGTACGAAATTATCAGTATTTGGGTTGAGCTTAATGGGTCGGGTTGAAAACGGGTGAACCCGTTAGCCACCCGTTAAGCTAACGGGTCGTGTCGGGTCAATTCGCGAATATTCGCATCCACCCGTTAAGGAGGGTATGTTTGTAATTTTCCAAAATATTTTTTTAAAACATATCTTAATTCCTAACACCAAACAGATGCTTCTTCCTTTTTTTTTTCTGTTATTTTTTATCTTTCCATCTTTCCCACTCTCTTTTTTAATATTATTTTTCCTTCAACCCATTCTCTCTCCGTGACTTCACTTTTTTTCTTATTCTTTCCCCCTTTTCTCCATCTCTCTTTATCTCTTCTTCTTTCCCCTTCTCCCAGCTCTCTTTTTTTCATTTTGTTCTTCCTCTTTCTGTCATTCTCTATCTCTCCTTTATTTTAAAAAAACATTCTCTTCTTCTCTCCACTCAAAAGACTCAGCCCAGCCAAGAGAAGATTGTTGTGAAACGGAGACCTTCATCAAGGCGACGTCACCTGAGATTTTAGATTTCTTCATGTACTTCCCCATCTCTCTTTATTCCTCTGTTTTTACTGCTGCTGTTGGGTTTTAAGTTTGGATTGAATGAGAGTGACTGTAAAAGTGGTTACCCAAGAGAGAGAGAGAGAGAGAGATTGAGGGACCAATTTTGTAAGATACCTGAGAGAGAGAGAATGGGTTAGGGCTGAAACAAAGAGGGGAAAGAGGGAAGAAAAATTAGGGCTCGGGTTTGGGGGAAGAAGAGTTAGCTTTGGGCAATAATTTTTTTTTTCTTCCTATTTATGCTTAACGGGTCGTGCGGATTTTTCGCGAATGGTAACGGGTCGTGTTTGGGTCTGATATTTTTCACCCGTTAAGTTAACGGGTCGTGTCGTGTTCAACCCGTTATCTTAACGGGTTAACACGAACACGACCCGGAACCCGTTAAAACGACCCGTTTGCCAGGTCTAGGTTTTGCTCTTGTGTTTGGGTTTTGGTTTTTGGGCTCTGGAAATGAATGGAAAGCCAATTGGGGATTTATACATTTTGGTAGCAACTAGAAATCCAATGACAACAATTGGAAGCTGTGCAGTTTTTTAATGCAATGATTGAGACGTTTCATGACGTTCGCAATTGCGTGGTGCTTAATGGAAAAACAAAAACTGAACTAAAAAAATGTTCAAATATATCAGCACCCACGTAAAAAAAAAGCGCACTAAAACATCTTCTCAAATCGATGTTGTTGCTCATTCTCGGGCTACGTTTGCAGTGACTTTGTTGTTGTGGTTCTCATTTTTGACTTCCCTTTTGTCTTCTAGAATGTATTGTTATGAAAGTATCAATTTCATCGATCTAAGTTTTAGATCACTAGAATGAGCTACTCATAATTAAGTATCAATTTCATCACAAATATATATTGTTCTCGTCATTTATGTGAATCGAACTTGAGAGCTCCTCCAATTAAGTGGAGACAAATAACACTACCAAAAGTTAATTGGTACCAAAAGAAAAAGTAATTAAAGGCTTATATGATTAAATTTTAATATTTATTAATCTAAAACTGCCCCGAATTCATCTAAAGGAATAAATGTGCAAAACAATAGTCTATTAAAATGTAAATAATTAGAAATACCAAAAAAAAATATCATGTTCAACAAAATTATTTTTTGTACATAATATAAATATAAAAGAAAAATCTATTGACACGCCTGCGCAGACTAGTGATTTGTAACGCACCGCATCTTCCAGGGTGGTTGGGGGTTGTGGGGCCCATAATTTGCTATTATTGTTGTTGTTTAGTTCCAACTGGACGTATGAAGAACCAATTGGGTTTCAATTCATTCCAGAGCAGAGAGCAATCAAAAACCAAAACACACAAAAGGTCATAGGCCAAACTGCAAGATCAAGACCATAGCAGGGGATCTGAACTCTGACATGGTTGCTCAACCTCCCACAATCCCTCTCCTTACCCCTTACAAATTGGGAAAATTCAATCTTTCTCATAGGTACTTGCTTAATCTTTTCTACATTATGCATTGATTGGGAAAATTCACCTCGTAGAATTTTGGTTTCGTTTGTTTCATTTTTCTAAATTTGTATGTTAGGTCATTTTGTTAGTGCACTACTTAGCCATGGCTAACAACAAATATGTATGTTTAATCAAATTTAGATTAGTGGGTAGTTTAGTCAGTTGGGTTGCTTGGTAGCTTTGGCGGATAGTTGGGTATCAAATTGTTGTAATTCTACAACAAACATAATTCCTACTAATTAAGTAGTACAATCTTTATTACATAGTTATTACATAGTTAACCAATCTTTATTTTACAACAAACATAATTCCTACCAATTAAGTAGTACAATCTTTTCCTAACAAGACCTACGTACTCCTAATCTAAGCCTTCCTCATCCAAACATACAAATGCTGCGCAACTGAAGCCTCCTCCATCATCCTTGTAAATAAATCAAAATGAAAGAGAGAAAAAAAAAGCTAAGATTATAAACATATAAAATTAGGTGGAAGAGAAATTTTACCATTTGACCATATTTCCATAGAAAACTTGTAAAATAAGCATAAAAAAGACCATCGAGAACCTGCAAAAGGAAAAATATATAAATAAAATGATGGTAAAAAGAGAAGGTAACAAATTTTCAACAAAAAAAAAACATACGACTCACATAGAAAACCTGCAAAAAGAAAAAGTTATAAATCTGCAAGCTTCCTCCTCATCTCCTGAGAACCAAATCAAAAAATCTAAAAAGATACCAGAAATAAATAATAAAAAATATGTAAACAAAGCAAACAAATCAAGAGAGATAGAAAATCTAAAATCAGGGAGACAAAGAACATACCAGAAACGTAAATAGACTAATCCAGAATTCACTAGCAAGATATAGAAGGGTATTGAGAGATTAGGTGACTTTCAAATCAAACCTTTCATGAGGGTATTTTAGAAAGCTCAGGAGGGTTTCAAGGAGTCAAGGAGGAAGAGATAAGGTTTTCAAGCGAGATTTCACTTAATTGGCCTTTTTTTAGCGTGTTTTAAAAGATGACGCTTGTTAATGAGAGATAAGGTTTTCAAAGACAGGGGAAAATTTGAAAATTTGTCGAGTGCGAATTCACTTAAGCGGCCTCTTTTTAGCGTGTTTTAAAAGATGACGCTTTTTTTACAAAAACTGTCGTCGTTACATATAATAGACGACAATTCTTTAAAAAAAAAACCGTCGTCTTTACATATAATAGACGGTAATTTTTTTATAAAAAAATCATCATCTTTAAATATAATAGATGACCCTTTTTTTCAAAAACCGTCATCTATACATATAATAGACGACCTTTTTTTTTAAAAAAAACCGTCATCTTTACATATAATAGACAACCATTTAAAAAAAAAACCGTCGTCTTTACATATAATAGACGACAGTTCTTTCAAAAAAACCGTGTCTTTACAAAAAAAAAAAAGCCACTTGATTTTTAAAAGACAACATTTGTCACTAACAAGCGTCGTCTTTTAAAAATCAAGCGGCCTTTTTTTTGTTCAGCGTGTTTTAAAAGACGACGCTTGTTAGTGACAAGCGTCGTCTTTTAAAAATCAATCTAACGCTAGTAGTGTATAAGATGATATATCATGACGGTTTTAAAAACACCGTCGTCTTTTAAAACATAACGACGGTTTTAAGATGCACCGTCATCTATTTTGTGTCGTGGTTTAACTATTTTGTAGTAGTGAGTAAGAACCAATTAGAAAATGACAATTGGCTAGTTTTAAGGTTTTTCTAATCAAATAGGCTCTATAAAGGTTTTTTTTTAATATAATATGCCATGTTAGAATGAACCTATTTGTGAAAATCTCTTAGAAAGACGCAAGAAGTGACTCAAATTCTTATTCTTGTTAGCCAACAGGTATTTTCCACAAATACCTGCTTCTAACTTCTAAGTGGACTAAATCCCATTTTTAGCAAAACAGGCCATGCCATGGCTAAATTTGTGCACCAACAAAATGACCCAACATACAAATTTAGAAAGAAAAAAAAAAGATAAAACAAAGCCAACATTCTTCAGCTTAATGCAATGTAGAAGATATTTAAGTACCTATGAGAAAGGTTGAACTTTCCCACTTTGTGAGGGGTAAGGAGAGGAATCGTGGGAGGTTGAGCAGACATGTCAGCTATCAGAATTCACGTGGGTTTTGTCCTTGTGTTTGGGTTTTGGTTTTTTGGCTCTGGAAATGAATGGAAAGCCAATTGGGGATTTATACATTTTGGTAGCAACTAGAAATCCAATGGCAGCAGTTGGAAGCTGCGCAGTTTTTTAATGCAATGATTGAGACGTTTGATGACGTTTGCAATTGCGTGGTGCTTAATGAATAAACAAAAACTGAACTAAAAGATGTTCAAATACATCTTCTCAAATCGATATTGTTGCTCATTCTCGGGCTACGTTTGCAGTGACTTTGTTGTTGTGGTTCTCATTTTTGACTTCGTTTCTGTCTTCACTAGTTTTACATCACTAGAATGAGCTACTCATCAATTTCATCACAAATATATATCGTTCTAGTCATTCACGTGAATTGAACTTATGGGCTCCACCAATTAAGTGAAGACAAATAACATTACCAAAAGTTAATTGGTACCAAAGGAAAAAGTAATTAAAGGCTTATATGATTAAATTTTAATATTTATTAATCTAAAACTGCCCCGAATTCATCTAAAGGGATAAACGTGCAAAACAATAGTCTACTAAAATATAAATAATTAAAAATACCGAAAAAAAAATCATGTTCAACAAAATTATTTTTTGTACATAATATAAATATAAAAGAAAAATCTATTGACACGCCTGCGCAGACTAGTGATTTGTAACGCACAGCATCTTCCAGGGTCGTTGGGGGTTGTGGGGCCCATAAGTTGTTGTTTAGTTCAACTGGACGTATAAAGAACCAATTGGGTTTCAATTCATTCCAGAGCAGAGAGCAATCAAAAACCAAAACACACAAAAGGTAAAAGACCAATCTGCAAGATCAAGACCATAGTAGGGGATCTGAACTCTGACATGGCTGCTCAACCTCCCACAATCCCTCTCCTTACCCCTTACAAATTGGGAAAATTCAATCTTTCTCATAGGTACTTGCTTAATCTTTTCTACATTATGCATTGATTGGGAAAATTCACTTTCTCATAGAATTTTGGTTTCGTTTGTTTCATTTTTCTAAATTTGTATGCTGGGTCATTTTGTTAGTGCACTACTTAGCCATAGCTAACAACAAATATGTATGTTTAAACAAATTTAGATTAGTGGGTAGTTTAGTCAGTTGGGTTGCTGGATGTGTAGCTTTGGCGGATAGTTGGGTAACAAACTGCTGTATTTGGGCTTGTTATATATCATACTGCTGTATTTGGGCTTGTTAATTTGTTATATATCAAACTGCTGCATACTTTCTGGGTTTGGGTTGGATAGTGAATTGGTAATATTTTACAAATTCTGGGGCAGTTTCTGTTGATGTCTACAGTTGATAAAGTACTCTTTCCCTGAGTTCACAGTTCTTTCCCTGGAGAAGGACTTGCATGTCACGGGATAGCACGTTTTTTTCCCGGAGAAGGACTTGAATTTTAGTTTCACTTGTTTCATTTTTCTAAATTTGTATGTTGGGTCATTTTGTTAGTTAGTGCATTAGTTAGCCATACCTAACAAGAAAAATGAAGTTGCTGCTTATGTTTAAGTTAACCTAATTTGGTTTACTGGGTATTTTGGTCATTTGGGTGCCTTGATAGTTATATAGCAAACTGCTGCGTTCTTTGTGACTTTGGGCAATGAATAGGAATTCTGGGGCTGTTTCTGTTGTTGATGTCTAGAATTGATAAACTAGTTGTCTTGCTTTCACAATTGTGTAATTGTCAAATTCCCAGCTGCTTGCTCATGCCCTTTTCTCCTAACGACAACGTTCCTCAGCCTTGTGCTTGTATTTATAATTTAAAATGTCTTTGTGTTTTTCAGAGTTGTTTTAGCGCCATTGACTAGACAGAGATCATACCACAGTGTTCCTCAACCACATGCCATCTTATATTACTCTCAGAGAACATCCAATGGGGGTCTTCTCATAGCTGAAGCCACTGGAGTTTCTGACACAGCTCAAGGGTAATTTGAAGTAGAGAAGCTTGCAAGTTCTGATGTTTGATTTTAAGTAACTCAGCTACATTTGAGGGTGCTTTTTTCATTTCAATGTTTGATGACATTTTTGTTTCTTTCGTATGCGAAGGTACCCAGATACTCCTGGTATATGGACAAAGGAGCAAGTGGAAGCATGGAAACCCATTGTTGATGCCGTTCATGCTAAAGATGGTGTCTTCTTCTGTCAGATTTGGCATGTGGGGAGGGTTTCAAATAGTGGTACGTTTCTGGCACACGCCTTATTACCTCACTATCGTAGAAGAACTTGTGAGCATAAGTGAAAAATTAGACCATTGAAGCATCATAAAGCTGATTCACCTTCCATAATTCATTATGAAAACTCAATGTTTTCAGCATGATTTTTTTTTTAGGTGGAAGAAATTTGATATATCAAAATAACTCAGAATTTGATATATGTTTGAATTCATTATGAAATCTCAATGTTTTCAGCATCATTTTTTTTATGGAAGAGTTTTAATACACTGAAATAACTAAGAATTCAGAAGTAGTATAGCATGTGCAAAGCTTCACAACAAGTGAGTGATTATGATTGATGATATCATTGCTCAAATGGCGATCAAATTGTGACATGTTAAGATCCGGACTTGGTGTTGATTGATGGAACCATTGGATGTTAAAACAACATGTAGAATAACATGAAAAATGGATATGCTTGATTGTCTGCAGACTATTTCCGTGCACAATTGGTGTTTTTATTGATTGATCTTGATCTACCTGGAAAAAAATAGGACTCTTTTTCTTAAATCATAAGTATCAGTGATGCTTCTCGACTTAAACTTTTAAATAATCCGCATTACTCCTACTTTTATTGCAATTTGAGACAACTGATTCCCTCTTTGTGTGAAAGAGTATGCTGCTGTGGCTGTGTTGTTTATTGCCTTGAGACGTGAGATTGTGATTCTATCTTTCCTTGTTTACAGGTTATCAACCAAATGGGCAAGCTCCAATCTCTTCTACTGACAAGCCAATACGATTAAATGGTATTGATGCCAGTGAATTGACACCTCCAAGGCGATTAAGGACCGATGAAATTCCACAAATTGTGAATGATTTTAGACTCGCTGCAAAGAATGCTATTGAAACTGGTAATTTGTCTTTACATTAAAATGAAATAGAATTTGTGAGAACTCAATTTGCTTCAGAGCTTATGGAAAATGAACCATATTTTATCAGCTAAATGTAGTAAAGGGAATAAACGTACTTGAACCATATTACAAGTAGTGTTGCCATAATTATTCTATCTGCAGTTGTTATAGGGAGCAACTATAAGTAGTTTTATGCTAATGGCTTGAACTGAATTTGAACTCCCACATTAATATTATTTGTTATTCTTGACCTTCCACGTCAACAATTTAGCTTTAGTGGTTTTGAGAGCCGACATAAGAAAAAGGGAGTAGCTTTTGCTTAATGAATAAAAGGATTGGTTCACATTTAGCTTTAGAATTTCATGATTGTTTGAATTTTGTGAATCATTAATTGGTGTTGTAATGCGCCCTTCTAACTGTAGGGAGGTCAAAAAACAGTATTGTATTAAAGTCAGGAGCCATACAAGCAAAAGTTATCCAAGTTTTATTTTCAAAAAGTTGTATTAGAAGGATGGAATGAACAAGTCTTCTAGGCATATCCATTAATATTATTTTCGAAAAGTCATATGATATATCAGTTTTCATCTTCTCCTTGTTTCTCTTTCTTTTGTGTTGAATGCATGAGGCCAAAGGGGGAGGGGATTCGAACTCTGGCCTTGAGTGTGGGGTAAAAAGCCCGCTACCACCGTAGCTACAAGCCCCTGCTCATCTTCTCATTGTTTCAATTGCATGGTAAATAACCATTATTTCTTTTGTCTTGTACACTGAAATAATTTGTCTGCTATATACAGGCTTTGATGGAGTTGAAATTCATGGGGCCCATGGCTACCTTCTTGATCAGTTTATGAAAGATCAAGTGAATGATCGAACAGACGAATATGGTGGATCTCTGGAGAATCGTTGCCGATTTGCTCTGGAAGTCGTTGAAGCTGTTGTTAACGAGATAGGAGCAGATAAAGTTGGAATTAGATTATCTCCATTTGCTGACTATATGGACTCAGGGGATTCAAATCCAAATGCATTAGGCCTTTATATGGCCAATTCCTTGAACAAATTTGGGATTCTGTACTGCCACATGGTTGAGCCGAGAATGAAGACAGTTGGAGAGAAAAGTGAAAGCCCCGACAGTCTTGTACCCATGAGAAAGGCTTTCAATGGTACCTTCATTGCTGCTGGTGGTTTTGACAGGGAAGATGGGAACAAAGCTGTGGCAGATGGCCATGCAGATCTCATCGCATATGGACGTTGGTTTTTGGCTAATCCAGATTTGCCAAAAAGATTTGAGCTCAATGCTCCTCTAAACAAGTACAATAGAGACACATTCTACCTATCTGATCCGGTTATTGGTTACACTGATTACCCATTTCTTGAAACCACTGCTTAAGTTTCCTCCAGCCAACGGACGCTTGAAGCCTTGAACACTCTACCTGTAGGCTTTGTTGTTACTTTTCTTTCACCGTAGCATGTAGTTTATAAGAAACAAAGTGAATAAAAGTTAAAGGGAAAGTGGCCTTGGCCAACCAGAGATAGTAACATTCTTATTTGGTAGTCATTTTTCTGCTTTGACAAAGTGAATCCAGATTCATTGCATGGTAAGAGATGTAGCATATATATTGATATTATTTGTACGGGACGTTGGAAACTTTTAAAAGAATGGATGCATTTGGCATGTTATTATTTCTACTGCAGGCGCTGGTGCTTTGGATTGCTTGTTTTCATCGTTTTTCCTCATCTTTTAATTCCATTTTTTTAACAGGGTTAATTACTTTAAAGTTTAAGATCATCACAAAAGCCAACCGATCCATGAGTTGCTAAGAGTTAGATAAAAACAGATTATCTTTATTAAACTCACGTGGCCACGAGCTACAACACTACACTTGCTACAGATTGGTCAAAGCAGAAGCACACTATACCAAATGACAATTTACTGTGTGGTGA